AAAAAAAAAAAAAGGTCAGGGGACATGTGTGCGTAAACGTAACGTGTTTAGTCTACTGCATGACAGCCCATTTAACGATGACAGCATCTCTGATTGTTACGCTTGGAGATAAATTTACGGTGTAATAATATATGTATGATGATACTGTGACTTTTGTCCAAACCATCCCTTGCAACCGTTCGCATTAGTTTTATTTTGTCTTGTCTTTTTTTTAAACAAATTGAACAAACGCAGTCACCCCAACAGTCGATCCGGGGGGATCTTCAAGGGACGTAAGGGTAGAGATGAACAAAGGAGGCCTTCAAATTCTGACCCTGTTCAAAAGAAAAATTGTTCATTTTTTTTAAGTACCCTGGCCTGTATAAGACATCATAAGACCCTTTAAATGGCTTTCGGTCCAACAGGATGCTCTGTTTGTAACGCTAAATAGTAAAATCCATATCCTGCTCAGCGGCCCATACCCATCTAGGCCAAATAAGGGAGTGCCTGGATGACTTCCGTCAATACAGGGTATAATAGCAGGGTCGTAACATGGTATATCCGGGGCCCACTGATCCCTATTTTCTTGCAGTCATTTTGATCCCTGAGACCCATTTTCCCAAAAATTTTGATCCCTGAGCCCTGATAAAAGAATTGATCCCATCCATGTTTTTACACAAAATTTTAACTTCGGCAACTTTATTTATCTCCAAATATAGAATATAGAACATGCTCAAATAGGCTGATGAGAAAAACATTAACTTTAATTTTTAGTGGAAGTTGTAGGTTCTATCAGAGCTTTCTATTCTGCTATCCCTGTTGATGTTGTAGTCTTATGTGAATTTCCTCTTAGTCTTTCACGCTGTGTGTTTTACAGTGAGGATCACGATCAATTACCAATAGCAAAATATCTTCTTTACATGAAGTAGAAAAATTAAATGATGCAAGCCACAGGTTCTAAAGTTTAACAGCATTTCTGTGTCAAGCCCATTAATGGCTTTTCCTGGCTTAATAACCATTGTAGATTGTCAGAGGACAACCCAGAGAAAGCCATTAATTTTTTTTGACACAGAAAAACTGTTAAACTGAAGAACCTGTGGCTTGCATCTTTTAATTTTTCTACTTCATGTAAAGCAGGTATTTTGCTATTGGTAACTGATCGTGATCCTCACTGTAACACACACAGAGTGAAAGAGGAAATTCACATAAGGCTACACTCTAACAACATCAACAGGGATAGCAGAATAGAAAGTCCAGGCCCCGGTTGTTCAAACGTTGGATAGCGCTATCCAACGTTTGAACAACCAGGGCCAGAAGCTTGGTTGCCCTTAATCAAGAAACACAGCAATAGGAGATCCGTACGACAGTGGACCAGTGAGGCAAAAGCTCATACAAACAATGGAGTAAGAAATACACCAATCTCAGCGGCTAATAATCGACCAACCAGAACCAGATCTTGGAGTCATATAAGTTCACGTGTGACCAGTTGACGAAGACTAGCAAGGCAAGGTCTTTAAGTGTTGCTTCTTCTCATGAACACTTGATAAACGCAGTTGAAACGTCGCGATCTGCTACATCATTCAGTGACTGAATCGTGAGACAAATAATTACACTTTATTAACATCAATATTGTAGACCAGTAACACGGCCGACGTGAAATTTTTGGTTGCAAGAGTCTCTTTGGAAATTAAACATCTGTGATCCACATAGCTCGGACAATGATTAACTGGACAAGTTATCCGGGCAAGCAGATGTTTGTATGGGACAAAATCAAGATTCCGCCGCAAGATCTTTCAAGATGTACGATACTTAAAGGGAAGTGGACTACTTTTTTTGGCGATACTAGACAAATGTTAAAACCTCAATTTCTTGAACGGGAGCTTTAGTAAGACACAGAATGTAAGTTATTTGTAATTTATACATTAAAAAGTAGTCCACTTCCCTTTAAGTATCGTACATCTTGAAAGATCTTGCGGCGGAATCTTGATTTTTTCAGATGTAACATTCATCAAGAGTATTTACGAGGTTTATTTTCAGTGTTTCTCATACGAGCAAGGCTACCCGGAGGTTTACAAGCCAATCGCAAGAAAGCATTGGATTTAAAATTCGAATAAATACAATTTAGTCAAACAGTAAACACAGCTAGCGCTGGTTGGTCCCCGGTTGAGTTAAAGTCACTGTAACGTACTTCTGAACTAAGGTCTTCCTCTAGCTTTCCAATTTCTGTTCCCTACGAACATCTGCTTGCCCAGATAACTTGTCCAGTTAATCATTGTCCGAGCTATGTGGATCACAGATGTTTAATTTCCAAAGAGACTATTGCAACCAAAAATTTCACGTCGGCCGTGTTACTGGTCTACAATATTGATGTTAATAAAGTGTAATTATTTGTCTCACGATTCAGTCACTGAATGATGTAGCAGATCGCGACGTTTCAACTGCGTATATCAAGTGTTCATGAGAAAAAGCAACACTTAAAGACCTTGCCTTGCTAGTCTTCGTCTAGCCTGCGTAGCTGGCGGTATTGTGTGGGTGCGAGATTAAAGTTTTGGCGGCGGAGCCGTGTTCCAAAAAAAGGGAGTAGGGACGAGGCGGTTGAAATACCGCCTGCCAGAAAACCCCGGTATTTTGAATAGTCCGCACACCAGTGTGCGGGGAAACGGATTGGTCGAGGGCCATACATATGTCAATCATGTTAGATGAGCCTTCGCATATATTTCCCAATTTAGGGAGCAGATGGCAAACTGAAAAAGACGTACATGTAAAGTGATTGTGATTTCCGCTTTAAAAAGAGCATAATTGATGACCAAATTGCCGAAATGGCGTCTTTAAACTTCACAGCGCTGGAATTGTCTTTATTTAGCCGTAAGAAACAAAGGTCAAAGAAAATTAAAACACTATACAACTGCATCTGAGATCAAATCCTATCAGGAACACCTACAGAAGAATAAACCACCGGAAATGGTTACTCAGTATGCATGTAACAAACCAGCTTCATGACCTTTTAATGTTAAGCCTGGTGTTGCAAAAAAAGATTTACTCAGTCAAAGTTTAGAATGATACATGCACTGTGTAGTGCTAGTAACCTTCGAGCGAGAGCCGAGAAAATAAAAAAAAACCTCTGTTCAAGCAAACTCACAAGGTCACGTTTCACATTGTCACGAGCTTAGGAGTCGTGTTTAGCCTGTCAACGCTTATTTCTAAACTGTCTCGCGCGAAAATAATCGGAAGTTTCAAATTGCAGGTTTCTCTTTGATTGGCTGATTTAATTGGGATCAGCTAACGTGACAAAAGTGGGCGGCATTCGAAAAATCATGGTTCTCTGGCAGGCGGTATTTCTCGCGGCTTCGCCGCTCGTGACGGCTCCGCCGTCAAATCTCACTCGACTATATTACAACGGCTCCGCCGCCAAATCTCACTCGACTACTACACAATACCGCCAGCTACGCAGGCTAGTCTTCGTCGACTGGTCACACGTGAACTTATATGACTCCAAGATCTGGTTCTGGTTGGTCGATTATTAGCCGCTGAGATTGGTGTATTTCTTACTCCATTGTTTGTATGAGCTTTTGCCTCATTGGTCCACTGTCGTACGGATCTCCTATTGCTGTGTTTCTTGATTAAGGGCAACCAAGCTTCTGGACTTTCTATTCTGCTATCCCTGTTGATGTTGTTAGAGTGTAGCCTTATGTGAATTTTCTCTTTTACTCTGTGTGTGTTACAGTGAGGATCACGATCAATTACCAATAGCAAAGTACCTACTTTACATGAAGTAGAAAAATTAAAAGATGCAAGCCACAGGTTCTACAGTTTAACAGTTTTTCTGTGTCCAAAAAAATTAATGGCTTTTCCTGGCTTAATAACCATTGTAGATTGACAGTGGACATATCTGGTTGTAGGTCTTCCAGACCTACTCCTTCCAGCTTCAAATCTAATTGGCTCTGAAAAGTTGTCCGCCTAAGCTTGCTCCCCTTCCTCTTCGTCACCAACTGACGCAGGTGAATCATCTGATTCAGCTGACCCCTGGAGCAATGCAACTAGGCGTTGCTCTTCAAGGCAGCTCAAACAGAAGTTGTTTCCATCTTTTATTATTTGAACTTTCTTGATGATACACTTAGGTGAATTTCTATCGTCACGGTGCCCAGTCTGGTATACAAGGGGATCTTCTTCTGAATGTTCCAGCCATCTCAAACCCATGTGATCTTCCACGAATGCGTCACCGTTATGGTGGAGATCTTTCAAAACAACTGCAGGGGAGAAAGGAATGATATACCTCTTGTAATTGTGCTTGAGAGCAACTATGTCGCCTTTTGAATAGATAATCTCATATTCCTCGGCTGCGTCTTGAAGTGTAGTTTGTCCTTCACTCCCTTTAACCTCTTTCAGCAGATCGACTTCTCCATGTGGCGACGCATTCCTTCTGAACATACTCAGAGCAAGTGGAAGTGTACAGCTCTTCCTTTGGTCTTCCCTCTCGTTCGTTGCTGTCGTACAACCCGTCCGAATTCTTTCGCAAAGCTCTGGAATGCCTTCCTTTGTCGCTCCTTTCCCTCCGCGCTCGTTTCCTCTTCTATATCTTCCTTAAAGTTTACTCGTGCCGTGCGACTTTCGAAGCCATTGCGGTGCCTTTGGACCCAGCTTTCTCTGTGTGTAATGGCTTCGAGGACCAGTATAAAAGATAAATGAGGATTGGTAGAGCCTCTCTATTGATTCCAAAAGGCAGCTGGGCCGCCGCGATGCGTAGTCGTTCAGAGCGGGTGTTCTCTCTCCACTAAAAAGTTCAGGCTCCAAATCTAAGGTGGTGATATCTTTCGGGGCCAACCGTTACATAAGCCGAGGCCGAATAGCCCAAAGGGCCGAAAAAATTCTTGCAGATCAATATTGTCACTAAGATCTGTAACTTTTGTGCAAAACAAAATAGCCACTGCACGAATGAGGTCTGAAAAAATCTTGCACGAAAAAAATAACCCATCCTCGGCTCAAAAATCAAATAGTGGGCCCCTTACTGGTGGCCCTTCGTGCTGAGTGCTATAATATATTAACTTCCTGCAGACTCTGCTACTTGTACCTAGTATGCAACATTCGTTTCACCAATTCAACCGTTTTTTTTATGAAAAAACTAAAGAAAATAAAATATAAAGGTTTTGTTACTTTTATTTCACCGAGGTAAGTCGTTGGTGTTCCACTTATTTTCACTTATTCTACACTGTAATTTCAGACTATTTATCATACAAGCATTTATCAGTTATACAGAAATGGAATGTGTCCTTTACTTTCCCAGTCCAATACTAGTACTGGTAGGTGAACCGATCTCGGTTTCTCATTAGAGTTCGAGATAACCCTAAAACTCCATGCAATTAGAGCAGATTTATTAAATTGCGAGAAAGCATTTATTTTGCAACAAAGCGCGCGAATTCATATAATTTTTATTACACTTTTGTATTCTGCTTTTGACGTCTATTCTGACTAATTATTTAAGCAGTTTTAAGAGTTAAGTTACTGGTCAAAAAATACGAACCTCGATTTATAGTCGCCTTGTGACTTGCTTGAGGCGATGAGACAATCGGGACCTATACAGTAAATTCCGCTTTCAATGAATCGGTTTGTCTATTGTCCTGGCGGTATTGTTATGTTTGATCGGCCGAAAAACTCTATGCTTGGACCCTTACCAGGAGTAAATCAGTCAAGGAAGTACTTACGTACCTTTCTCTGTCACAGGATTTCTTTTTGTCCTTTTTCTTCTTCCCCATTTCTCGCCAAAAAAGATATGTAAAATCGCTTTCTCTGCCTTCTGGCATTGACAGAGCGTTGAGGAGTTGCGTTACAAAGCGAGAAAAGTGACTTGAGACTCATATTACGGTGCCCTCAACAATTTAAAATGAATTAAGAATATGATACCATGTTTTCGTCAAACAACCAGGACTTCGTATGACAGGAAGTGCCGTCAGCCGGAAGCAAGATAGCCTGCGTAGCTGGCGGTATTGTGTGGGTGCGAGATTAAAGTTTTGGCGGCGGAGCCGTGTTCCAAAAAAAAGGAGTAGGGACGAGGCGGTTGAAATACCGCCTGCCAGAAAACCCCGGTATTTTGAATAGTCCGCACACCAGTGTGCGGGGAAACGGATTGGTCGAGGGCCATACATATGTCAATCATGTTAGATGAGCCTTCGCATATATTTCCCAATTTAGGGAGCAGATGGCAAACTGAAAAAGACGTACATGTAAAGTGATTGTGATTTCCGCTTTAAAAAGAGCATAATTGATGACCAAATTGCCGAAATGGCGTCTTTAAACTTCACAGCGCTGGAATTGTCTTTATTTAGCCGTAAGAAACAAAGGTCAAAGAAAAT